ATAACACCTGAAGCCTAAATAAAGACTTGAATTAGCTCTTGCATAATGTATGTTTAATTGACCTGCTTTTTGTATATCCTTTCTGATGTAAAATAACCAAACTTTGCCATTAAAATAGAGTTTTCTTATGGTTGGAAATTAAGTAAAACCGAAAAGTTTGGGAAAATGGAGGTAACTCGAAGAACGCTGAACATCGATCGAGTTCGTCCTCTCATGACCCCCTTGAAATCAATCTGTTAAGAACCTTATCCTCTATCTCGTTTTGAGAAATGGTGGGTAACGGAAGGTCGAAGAACGCTAAATAGTGGATATATATAGGGTTTTTCATGCCGTGACCCCAGTGAAGTCTCTAATTTAATATCATCCAAAGTCTTCGACATTGAAAACACAAATTATTTGTCTATTCAAATCAACATTGATGTTGTGAACTTACTTACAGGGAAAAGATGGGCTTCTGATATCCAATATTTAAGACAAAATAAACATTTGACCATTGGTACACCAATCGTGTACCATAATGGGTTTCAGAGCCATTTGTAATAAGAGACTCGAAGAACGAGGCTAGACATATTCCACAAGTCATGTCAAACGGTGACGACATATTCTTATCTGGAAAGCATGCGAAATAAATACTATCAGTGTAGACTGGAATAACCAGACACTAGAGATTGCCATTCGATTGAGACTTCTGGCGTATTTCGCCGAACATAACTGATTAGAGTAAAAACGGAAACGATTGAATGTAAATCAGTTTATATACATTCATATTACATTATTATATGCGTTGCGACCCATTTGTGTCAATTTCTAGGTCCCAGATATTAGCGATTGAGCTCCTTTAAAGCAACGTAAGTTCGCGGAACGCTGGATATCGATATGGTTCGTCCTCTCACACAAAATTTGAAACTGTATACTCTTTATCGTGTTCACAGTGATTTCGGCTAATAGGACATATCTCGGGATCGAAATGTCGCATGAGGCTTTCAGAAGGTTTTCAGCAAATGGGGTAACTCCGTAACATTAAGGCCGTGGAATGCAGATTACCGATAGTGTTCGTCCCCGGCGGACAGTCGGGCCAACAAAGAAGTTCCACTAGAGTGCCCACAAGCTGGTTTAAGCATTTTAACCAAAGGGCGGGTGCCATAGTCCCGGAGGCTACGGTCCGGCCCGCACCAAGATCTTTAGATCCTTAACATATATTGTAAGTTCATCTATATCGAACAAAGAGAGTCCACAAACATTGTGCATCAGTACTGAACTCATCCAAGGCCGTTGATCATGAATATAAATGTATATTTTAAGAATCGAACGTTTTCGGCCTCGCCATGAAAAGATGGCACAAACTCAATCAATCTGCTCATGTTAATAGAAAAGTATCCCAGCATTTGCTTGACATTCTATGTAATATATAGCTATAAACACCATGACCCTATCATTTGCTCTCAAAATGAAGAAAATAGAATGCTGACTCGTGATTAAGTATTTGCATTCTAAAAAGTTGACGGCCAAATCAAATTAATGATGACATGACACCAACATAAGGTGACAGACAATGCTCCTTCGTACAATACAAACAGTTAATTGTGTGCTGAATATACAAGGGGCGGAATCAGCACTGAAGACGAGCCACGGTCTGGTCGCCCTTGTGAAGTGACCATCCAAGATCTGTGGGGTGCCTTTTCCCGGAGGGCCGCCCATAATGACGCCTTATGATTGTCGGGCTGCGCCCCAAGTAGCCCTTGCCCCCCCCCCCCAAACACACACATTTTTGGGCTAACTACGCGCCAGCTATTAGATTACAAAATCAAATTTATTTTGTAGATTTACTTCTAATCAATAGATCTAATATTTTTGTAAACATCATTTTAACATCATTAGATACAAATTATAATACAACTTGCATTTAAATTTAATTTAGAATACCTAGACATAACTCTCAAAACTGTTGGGTAGCGTAACACAAATAACCGAGACATAATATTATTTCAAAATAGATGAGGATGGAAAGTGAAAAATGAAATTTATTGCCCTAATTATGTGTTGTCTAACTACTGTTTATTCCTATAACTCCTTACGTGGGATTTCGGTAAAAACTACAACAGCTAGGCTATATTGCTAAAGCAGAATGCAGAGGATGTTTCGATCAATTTGTTCGCCGTCTGTGGGTTAGAAAAGCACGAAAAATGTTCGTGAAATCAAAGGTGTTAGATATTTGGAACTCTGTTTATTGCCTGCGTTGAGCCGACATTTGCGGAACATTTTTATACGCCTACATTTTCACGTGGACGTATATTGTCGCCCCTGACCGTCCGGACGTCCGTCCACAATTTGTTTGTGGACACTCTATACAGGTCACAATCTTTATCCGATTTTAACGAAACTTGAAATATAGGTCTATCCCCCAAAGATCCCGGTTCCTGTCGATATTGGCATGTATCGGACAATAACTTCCTGGATTATGGCCCCTGATTGTACGAAAAATCACGTTTTTAGCTTGTGAACACTCTAGAGGTCACATTTTTCATTTTCATATCGGACCGTAACTTCCTAAATGTCCCCTGATTGTACGAAAAATCGCGTTTTTATTGTATGGCTCTAAAGGTCACAATTATTATCCGATTAAAAAAAACATTCGAATATATCACCGTTACACCGTAATGTCGGTTGAGTTCGAATTTCGTGAAAATCGGACCAAAACTACCGGACAATATGTTTGCCCCTAGTATGCAAATAGTGTGAAAATATGGTCTATCAAGGATTTGGACCCTCTAGAGGTCACTTTTGACCCCGATTTTGATATTCCTGAATTATGGCCCTTGATGGCATGACCCTATCACTTGCTCTCAAAATGAAGAAAACCAAATGCGGACTCCGTGATTAAACATTTGCATTCGAAAAAGTTGACGCCAAATCAAAAGAATGATGATGACATCAACATAAGTTTACAATGCCCCTTCGTACAATACAAACAGTTAATTGTGTGCTGAATATCAGCACTGAAGACGAGCCACGGTCTGGTCAGGGTCGCCCTTGTGAAGTGACCATCCAAGATAAAAGCTGTACTCAATACAATAATACAGTTAACTACTGCACAGGACATCAGCAAAAATTCAGTGGGACGAATAATCCATTAACATTTGCACACAAATAAGGCTTCAGCCCGCTGGGTTCCCAGAATCTTGAATGCGGAACAAAAACGTCAGTGCGTCAAAGTTAGTCAATGGCTTCTGTAGGACAATCGGAGAGATCCGCGTGATTTCTTCAGTCACATTGTTACTCGGGGTAAAACAAGGGTTCGTCACTTTGACCCAGAGACAGAAAGGTTTGCAGTGGAAGTTTAAAAGAACGTCTTCCATTGGCAAGGTCATGGCCACCGTTTTCTGCGAATGAAGGCGTAATCGCGATAAATTATCTAAAGAGGTGTTCCGCCATAAATGGTACATACTACATAGATAAATGGCGCAGACTGTGTGATAAAATCAAAGAAACGCGCGAAGGTAACCTTAGCCGATGTGTTTGGCTGCTCCAGTTCACACCGCCCAATAGTAGCAGTGACCGCTGCACATGACTGTGGCTTCGCGATTCTCCCCCCCACCCAGCCTTTTCTCCAGATCTAGCTCCCTCTGACTTCTTCCTCTTTCCACAACTCAAATCTGTCCCCAGGGACCATCGACTTCGGACAGATAATGCAGTAACACTGCTGTAGAGGAGTTGTAGGGTCACATGACAAACGGTGGTTTTCGGACGGGTTAAATACATGTATGCTGGAGAAACAGTTGTACATGTGCATTATAAGAATTTTTTATAGACAGCATATTAAGGGGGGCTGGAACTTTTGGGAGACCCCACGTATCAGCTTCAATCATTGGCTCAATGGCGCGTGCATTGTTTACATAAGACGTTACTGATTCGAGCAGAATGGCACTTTTTACTCATTTTAATACCCATTTACCTACCAATACTTCAAACGTCTTTATTTATTTTTCTAATAGACCTACATAAAAAAAAATGTTTTAGAATTTAATTTTTCGGAGGAAAAGAGTTAATATTTGTGGCTCATTAAGTCGCATCGATGTCATCCTTATCAGTGATTGTCGCGGCCTAGCGAATATTCACTGCAGATCAGTGTGCCCTCGTAAAACAAATATTGGGGCCTTTGGAGGGTCCAAGAAATTCGTATATAAAAGATTTTACATTATTATCCCCGAAAGTGCAACATCCCCAATCGTCTCAATTGAAGTATAAAAATACTTTATAATCCATTACGTCGAAGATTTTCAGGTTTTAACATTTTTAATATATTGCTACAAAGAGGCGAACGAATGGTAAATATCATATGCTTTTTTCTGACAGACAAAGTCGCGAAAATGTTCCAATTGGCAAAATTTTGGAAATTTGTGGGTGGCGAATAAGTTGCCCTTTTTCGAACCCTAGCTACGCCCCTTAATTAACAGGTAGATGTCAAATAGTTTATATAATAATAACTTGGATTTATTGGACATGTAATTCCTTATTAGAATTATCTCGGTCTTCTTTCCCAGGACATCAATCAGGAAAAAACTTCAAAGTCAAAAACTCGATATTCGCCAGTTCGACAATAACGTGGCGAAATGACAGTAGGTAATATGTACTTGCTGAGACAATTCTGATCAGTCATCATTGAGATTTCAGATGTTTTAATTCTCAAAGTACGAGTCATACACATATTGCGGTCTTCAATCATTTTAATGCGCATAATATAGATCAAGTCAGCGATTCTTGTGAGAACTTTAATATTTGTTACAAACGCTACGCATCTTCTTCTTGCTCACCCCCCCCCCCCCCAAGGTTCCGAAACTTTAGGTATGAACTACATGAAACTGTTCATGCCTGTTCCTTACACAATTGTACATTGCTTTTAGGGGCTGGAAGGGGACATGTATTGATTGAAGCAATACCTCTTTAAAACAAAAAGACAACCATATTCAAAACAGCATTCAGCTAAATAATCAACACAAGAATATGAGGAGACAAAGGATTTATTATTTTAATAGCAAACACAGAAAAATATAACTGAGATTCACCAAGAAATTTTGCACCAAGTGTGAATCTTTAAACTAGATCTGCATAATTATAAATAAATACTGCCAGTTGATTGGTCAATCATCTAAATAAGTTAAATTCACTGGTTTTCACATACACCGGGGAGGAGCTCCTGATTTGATTGACAACCAAGGAGCAGTCATTGCATGACAATGATGGCACTAGATGGAATGTTATAAACCTTTAAAAATGGTCACTTCTCCCTCACTACATTTGTAAGCAACAATACAAGGCTAATTTGAACTAATTGAACAAGTACAAAGGGATAAATACAATAACAGAATGCCCAGTATTAAACACAATAACAAATCATATACATTGTCATTTTTCTATAAAATTGAATGATCAGAGCATTACATTAACAAGACAGTAATGAACTTAAATAGCTGTAGACTATGACTTTCAACACTACAAGCATGCAGTTTATAAAACAAAACCAACCAAGTTTTTGAATGGGAACATATAATTTGCCTAATTATTTATACTGTAATTAAACTGCACACAACATATTACTAAATGTTTTAAATTGATGGTATAGTTGATAGGATTTTTTAGCAATAAGTTTTACCTCTGTAGGTTTTGAATAAACAATATAAAAAAAATGACCTTTTCATATTCATTAATAACCAATCTTTGTCACTGACTGCATCTTCCTTTGGTTAGTCTACTGGATGTTGTGATTTTTTGTAATAAAGAGGTCAATACATTGATTATTGGCTATAATTTAAGTCATTCCACACATATCTTTGAATTTGTATATGGTGTCACAAAAATGATGCATCTCAAAGCTTGCACTAATACAAAGATTTACAATTATATTCAGCAGACTGCAAATACATGTGCCAAATAAGAAAATAATATTTCTTTAGTAGTGAACGAATTGTGAAGAATTAAATGTACTAGGACTTAATACAATTTCGAACTTTGATACTGGTGTGTAATTGTTCCTTCATCTATTATCTACATATACAAATATTGTATATTAAATATGGAGTATAATATAGTATATATAACATTGGTTTAATTATACAAACTATGACTTATAATAGTATACATAGAATACTTATAGAAATAATCAAAATATAACATATAGCCCAAAGCACAATAACAATGTAGGTCTGTCAATATAATGGGGACTTTGCTAATTCACATTTTCTTTTTTTGATGTTTTACCATTTCATATCTAAATGAAATAAATATGTCCTCCCATATGTTATAACAATACTGTCTGCTGCTCTTCTATATAATGTTTTAACACTAATTTATATTCTATACAAATTAAAGAAATATTATAATAAAGAGATTAGGCTTGGAATCCACAAAAACAAATAGTGATAGGAAGCTGAGAAAACCTATGAGTTAGGCAGGTAACCCTACTTTTTGTAACATGAAAACTTTGGATCAATCTCTCGGTTTGCATAGATGACATATCTTGGTAAATTAGGTCATCAAATCTGGCTACATTATAAGAAAGAGAAGCAGTTAGTATATGATATAGAGACAAAGTGTGTATGTGTATATATGTTTTAACATTCTCCTCAGTATGAAGATAAGCAAAATATTTTTTTTTATTTTACAAAATTTTTAACTATGAACATGAATTAAATACACAAATAAACAAGCAATAATTTACTTAACTTACAAATGAAAAACAATAAGCATCTTGTGTTGAAATTTAGAAAAAAAATATATAGAAGTTGAAATTCAAATATGAGTTGTCATTATTAGAAATGAACTTGAAGAGAAAGGTGCATAAACCTCCATGGCACGTATGTGATTTAAGTGAGAATATATAAATACCGATAATGAGAACGAAACAACAATTACAGCACTATAACAGTTGCAATAACAGGGATTCATTTCATATATTTTTTTAAACACAATTATGCATAAAAGTGAAATTTTTAAAATAAATTTGATGACTGGAACAAGTTTAGTCAGTGTTGAACTAAATTTAATTGTCTAAAATTAAAATTCTGTCTTTCAGGATGCATACACCTATGGATTATTTTTGTAAACAAAAAGTCATGACAATGTACTCAAGCTAACAAACAATGTGGATCTTGATCAAAAATCATGCATATATATTATTGATAGTTGTAAATGATTTACAAGTATTGAGAGTTTTTAAATGAAACATTTGGTAACATATTATTTACATGCACATACAGAAAGAAAGCATGACTGTTTCTTTTTTTTTTACAATGAAATTGATGGTAAAATGATAGAAAATACATCTCATATGGTCTTTAATATAAATAACAATTCCTTTAACACACAGAAACTGGTATGCATATTCATTATTGAGCATTTGACATAAAATAACTCAAATTTCATTTAATCCATGTCATACTAAATAGAGAACACTTTTTATTAATGATAAAACATAATATCTTCAGTCATTTCCGGGTAATTTGAGTTTTAAAAATACTCATTACAAACTTTAATGTCACTGAATTTTAAGTTATTTCTGTTAAAAACATTATCTGTGTATTAATATACCCAATTGTTTAGACTTAGTTGAAAATCAAATTTTTGATACAATTTGAATTTTACATTCGTTCTTCTTTACCCAGTAACCACTTGGAAATCTAATGTAAAACCAAACAGAAGACTGAGGTTTATGTTACCTTTAAACACTTGCTATTGCTGGATAAATTTTACACAAATTCAAGTAAAAACTTCAGATTAGGTTAAAGTAATCAATAAATGGTACAGTAGTAATTTTTAATAATAGAAAAGTTATTAATGTAAGTAGACACACAATATTACAAGTCTAATAAATATATACATGTACATATATAAATATGTATTTTCTCAATATGCATAACAGTTGTTATTATTATTTATATATATATATATAAAAAATGTTCTAATGCTACACAATGACGGACAAACTAAAAACAAAACATTAAAACCAATAAATACAAGTTGGAATCTATAATACAAACTTAACAAGTTCAAATAATATAATATGTGCTTTAAGACTAAATAAACATTTACTAAAATATGTCTTTAACAAATAAAGCACACACACAATTCTTACAGTAATATATACTGTAGACATAAAACAAAATTGTTCATGGGTTTTTTTCTTCATATTTTAATTAATAATGGACTAATCATAATAAAAATTTAAAGGAAAGAAGTTAATTCAATATTTCAAATGTCAAGGTTTTCTCAATCCTATTTCGTTTCGTTTTTTATAGTTCAAAATTTCGTTTTACTTGGCTTTACTACACTAGGATCTGGAAGAGTTGTTATATAACCCGCGTTTTGGATGATGTTAAGGATTAGCCAATGAAACGGTCTGTTATGGCGGGTTTTGGGCGTGGGATGCACTGAACTGTGGGTAACCCCCTAGAAACATCAATGGTGATTGGTTAATCAAATATCTGACATCATAGTGTCACAGGTCGCTCGTATGACCTCTGACCAACCTTCCGCTACAACTTGTCAGATCTTCATGTAGTAGAGGCCATCAAAAATATAAAAAAAACGAAACGAAATATAGACCTATATCTTAATCAGATTGATGTTTTCTTAGATGTATATCAGGACCAGTTTAGAAATTTAAATATTGTTCCTAAAAATGATATGATAATTTTTTAAATTATATCCCAGAAATATACTCTTTATTTTCACAAAATGATGTTATGTTGGCCAATATTTTTGACAATTGTTGATGATGGTGAACAACAAATAATGGCAATAATTTTTAACTTCGAGGTTTTCTTTTAAATTTCACTGGATTATACCTTCCATTTTATATTTCACTGGGCTAAACTTTTATGTTTATATCCTAGAAATATAGTCCATATTTTCACTAAATGATATTATGTTTGCCAATATTTTTGATGATTGTTGATGATGGTGAACAACAAATGATGACAATAAAAGTGAAAAATATCACCGGGTATTTTTCTACAATGTTATCGATAAAACGTCACTCCTCTTTTGTTTAATTTTATTAATCAAACCTTGGAACAAATTATATGATGTTTACCGGGAAATATAATGTATAGTTTGATCTTAATAAAACACCGAGTTCGTGTGTATAAACATCAAAAACTAAAATCTGTTAATAAAATTTCTCGCAATGGTGGTCAAGCTTTCACCGGTTATCAATTGAACACAAAATTATACAGTAAACCACACAAAGATAATAAATCATGGTTGATAATAACAATAATAATATACTGTCAGTTAGAAACACATACTGTTTCATTAAAACATATAACTGTCTACATACAGACTAACAAATTACCTATAATACATTTCAATTTATACTGGCATAGTCAAGACTACAAATCACGGGTATGACGAATTGTGCAATCGCACGAGGGACCAGAACACGATCGTCTCTCGTTTTAGTAAAGTACATTAAACATTGTGTCATAAATGTATAATATATATTACTGATATGGCATAGATATATAACAATATAATATTCTAGAAATGTTGAGAAAAAGGACATTTAAAGCATATTAAAAGACAAATTGATGGCACCACTTGAACGAATTGTATCTAAAGCTTTATTTTCACATGGTGTAGTTTGCTGCCTTCATTTATATTTAAGCCCTGTTAACACTACCATACATCAAGAGCTTTTTTGCTAAAGTATATTTGGACTAGATTATATATAGTTTTTAAACCATGGAAGACTATACTCAAGCCTTTGTACAAATAGTGCTACATGTAATATGATTACAAATGTTCGAAATATCAATTAACAATAAATGCATATATTTCTTTCTTGAAGACTAAAAAAAAGATAAAAATCCCCAAGAAATTTGATTTAAAAAATGACAGGAAAAAGGGGTAGGTAACCAAGGTAAGAATTCTAGTAGAAAGATATGTGCATATATATACATATAATATTTATCAATGTATCTTTGGTGTGAACAGGGCTTTCGTACACTTAACACAAATGGTCGATAGTGACCACTATATAATAATTAAAAATAGTCAAAACTTCACATGTATAGCATACAAGAATTAAGGCATATATATATAGATATTCATAAAATTTACTTTCATTTAAAGCACAGGTACATAATAATGTTGTATGCAACAAGGACAGGACTGGACTTAAATATACCATAATAACATAAATAAATAGACTATCAAATTATCCCTTCTAATATTTATAAAGAGTATTTGAATACAAAAAAAAACAAGGTTTGCTTTGATTGGTTCACCGGGAGAGCCATTCTAAACAAAACACAATTATAACAACTTATGGCACCAAGTCAAAAGTTTCAGCATAGAGGTCATGAGGAAAGCTCATTTGACCTTTGAGTGATTCCAACATTCTTCGATGTTCCACACCCAATTCACGTAAACTTGATATGCTCATTAACAATCGAGGAAAAAGTCCCACTTCGTCGGGATGACAACCAGAGATTTCAAACTGCAGAGCTTGAATCAACATTTCTTGTAGCTTGCATACTTTATCTCGGTTTTTGAGTCCAGGGCGATCTGAAAAAAAATAAATTTAATGTCAATGACAGCAAGAGAGAATTAAAGAAGTTTAATGTATTGAGACTACCATACGTTTTTATTTTGAAGATACGTGTATATAGCTAGGGAGAATTTTGCACAGACAGCAGCCTTGACACATATCTATCATAAAATTCCAACTGTCAAAGGTATACTTTCGGAGATTCACACAACGTGAGAGTCCAGTGCCCTGAATGCTTGAGACAATCGATTCTCTGGCAGTCAATATAATATATAATAAACTCATTTATCAATATATATATAGCAGGGAAACAGAAATTACCACATTTATTGATAAAAAATTAACATATTTCTATTAATTTGATTACATCCAATTAAGGGAGTAGGGGGTTGGATGGGTGAGTGGTCTAACGCATGCGCATCAGATCATAAAGCCTATCATTGAGTCAAGTGGTGTAATTCTGATCCCAAACTTGTAAATGACAAGGAGTAGGGTCGCCTGTCTAACCATGTGGGGTTTAAATACCCCTACTCAATATGTTAGTCCCAAAATGACATAGTTTGTGTTTGGCGACATCAAACGACATAACTATATCTTTGAATCTTTTCAGGTTTACAGTTATTGTGAGTTTCTGATATTAAAATGGCATTCAAATCAAGTTACAAATTATATTTTCTACTTGCAAACTCGAAAGTTAATTTGACACTCAAGTTCTTAAATTTCATGTAAAAAGCTTAATAATGAAAGAAACTTCTCGACAACACAAAACTGCTGTCATTTTGAAACTAAGACAATACTTTTCATTCATTATTTCCAAATCATCATTGCAACCACAACTAGAATACTTTTTAACAATTTTCAGGTCATCAGGATCGTTTTTTGCGAGAAAGAGGGACAAGTTCATTTCATTGATAACCACCCACATAGAGAAATAACTAACGTACAAAAATTGTTCAAGCCATAGAGTTGTACAGACAGCTTCAGGAATCATGAATATTATTTCCAAAATATATCAACTGTTATATAGTTCAATTTATAAACTTACCTGGGGAAATCATCACTAGGGCACTAAACAAAGCTTTCTCGGAATCAAGCAGTTTAAATGCATTAAAACGATTACAGAGATTAAATAACAGCTCTACAAAATGTTCCCCTAGAGGGAATCCAATCTTCATTTCATCACGAGTCACCAGAGTTCCATTTCCCAGAAGGTATATCGTATTACTATCAGCATCAACAAACGGTGCACAGACGACACAAGCAACCTAGTAGTAGAATTAAAAAAATATTTATCCATCTATCACATTCTGCTTAGCAACATAAAAATGATGACGGTTTCACTGGTGCCATGTTACCCTTTAACTGACGTCACTTCCCATACCAATGGAAACGATAAACATATTTCCACATGGGCATCGCACATGTGTTTTAATCTGGACGCAGAATTAGCCAATAAATCTGTTCCATTTATACATTTGTTACATATGTAATAAATGAAAACTGCATCAAACAAAGACTCTGCACGATGACATCACTTCTGCTATCAACTAAATATTTAAATTGGATTACAGAAATAACCGCTTTGATTGTCCTCTTTGCATGACTGAAAATCGATTTAAAATTGAACAGAAATAAACCTTTATAATGCCTTTTTGAAAAGCGAAAATCGTTAAAAAGTGATCCTAACAAAACTGGTTATTTCTCGGCAAGGGAAGATGTTACGTTTTTGGAACCTATATGATTGTATTGACTCACTCTATTTGTCCACTGAAATCAAATATCATAATTTTATATGAATAATGAATATCACTTACTTCATAAAAAAATATTTTTTTTGCCAAAATGACATTACTTTCTGTGATATTGAAAATGTTAAGTTTTATGAAATCATAAATGGCATTACATGGTGAACATTTTATGAAAATCAAATAATAATTGACACTTTTATAGACCAAAAACCATGAAAAGTGACTTGTAGAAAATCGTCAATTTCTCGGCAACTGAACAAGTTAGGAACTACTTTGTGATATTTATATGATCGCATGGGTTCATTCTATTCGTTGATTGGAATCAAAAATCTTAATTATAATAAAAAAATATTACTCAGTTGAATAAAATATTAGTTTTGAAGACAAAAAATACAGTTTTTGCCAAAATAAAGCCATTTCCGATGACAGTGAAAATGTTAAATTGGTTTGACCATGTCACAATTAGCATCAGGTATCAAATGGTTAAAACAATTTCAAAACTGACCAATAACTGAAACGTTTATAGGCAAAAGAAACATGAAAAGTGACTCATGCAAAATTGCTTATTTCTCAACAACCACTCAAGTTGCAAACTAACTTTTGTATAGATTGTCTTCGTATGGATTAGAAGTTTATAAAAGTTACGAAGAAATATTTTAAAATATGAAGAAGCTGAATGGGCTGTAAATAGCTTAAATTTACACCCTTTTTCCCCTTTTATTCAAATGCCCCGAAAATGAAATCGAAATTAAAAAATTTGAACGTGAGATTCTAAGCGTCTTTACAGGGCACACCCTTTTTAGTCATATCAGATTTTTAAAAAGTAATATTTCCATTCAAAAAGTGGTACCAAACTTTCAAAATTGTAGTTTTTGGTAAAATTATGTCACTTTCGGTACCAACAGGAAACTTTATCTGTAACTCAAAAAATTACATTTGGGACCACGGAGCATATGAACTTTGTTTTATACAAAACTAACAATAAATAATTAATCTAGGACCGAAATTAGCTAATGGTGGCCAAAGTAAATTTTTCACATTTTTGCTCAAGCCATGTGACGCTTTAACCCTGGGCAAAATATCATCAAAATTTTTTCATTTTTTGTAAAAATTTAAATTTTCTAAATTTAGCGCATAATATCTACAACAATTTGCAGAAAATGAAAAATAAAAAGTAGTGTAGCTGTGTGCCATGTCTCCGGCTATACCAAAATGTATTGACAGCTAAAATCTGACGATTATTGTTAAAATTATGTCAATAATTTTAAAAATGACAACTTCGGGGATTTTGGACATTTTGCATTGTCGCAGAACATTGAAAATAGTTTTATCCTCTATGTCACATCCTCTTTCCCAGTAAAACTGAAGAAATCGTAATGATGCGACAAGCAGCTGCTGAGATATAAGCAAAGTGGAAAAAAAAAATATGAATAATAATCCGAACAAAAACAATGGTATTTAACACAAGCTAATAAGTTTCAACTTTTAAGGTGCTTTTCGAGATTGAACACAGGCAATCAATACTAACAAAAATAAGCTTGTTCAAAAAGATGAGTTTTAAGCGGAGATTTGCCTAATTGACAAGGGTAGTGAATACCATAGAAGGATCCTAGTATACAAATGAACAGTGGCCTACATGTATCTCTAGATTGACAGCTGAGCTTGTCACAGACTTTTATTTGTTGATCTCAAGTTTCTTGTGGGACAGTGCGTAATAGACAGTCTTTTATGCATTCATTTAAGGTTTTAAAAGCAGAATTTCGAACAGGAAGCAAATTAAGACATTTCAATATTGGGATTAATTGTTGGTGTTTTCTGTTTTTTGTTAAGATACAAGAATCAGAATTGTGAATGCGTGGAGAGTTTTGAATCAGAAACACCTACACCTGGTGAACAAATAATGTACATTTACAATATCTTAATTCTATATTTCTCCACGTATATTTTAATAGAATGAGAAATTGGACAATTGTCATAAAATACACAACTTTAAAACTGTCAGTTGCCATGCAATCTACAATAACACAGAAATAATGTGCAGTGTAATTAAAAACAATGTTTCATGCAAATGTGATTACTTGAGTAAAAGAATAATTAGATATATAGAGACTTGATGAATAGACAGCTTCTGCCACGCATCTCAAATTTTGGATCTGCCTCTTGCATATTATACAAACAAAATTTTGGTTAACACAATCAAAATTATTGTTGCCAATAGCCAAACGACATTCTGTAGAATGTATATTCACAAAATTGATTAAAAGGAAAGAAAGTGGTATGCATCAAATAATTATGTGTAAAACTTTACCTCAAAGCAACCCCCTTTAATTAGACTTATTTGGTCATCTTGATCTAAGCCTGAGAAACCTGGGATTTTCTTGGCAAATATAACCACATCTTGAATAGTTTTGTGCATCCGTAATTGAAATCCTTCCCAGGATCTTTCTCCTGGAGTCATATCATCATCACCCTGAAACAATTGTTACAAGATATAAATTTTATGTTTTGATTCAGAAAACATCTAGTAATTACTAATAGATCTGTCTTCTTGAAATATCAAATAACGTGTTTACATCCTCTAATATAGTATTCTATTGAAAAATCAAAAGGAGAAAATACGTGTCAGTCAATTTAGATGCCACAAAATTAAAATCTCAAAAAATTTAACCCTAAAACACCAAAAATACAATTAATTAAATTCATACTTCTAGCTTTTATGCATAACAAGCCAACAGTGAGGCTGATGTCATATATTAATTTATTGCACATTTATTGTTTTCAAAAGTATCAAGCAAACAAACTGATTATCAAATATACATTAAGTTTCATCGCTCTCTATCAGATAGAATCAAAGCTATCTTGTCCTAAAGCCTCGACCAAGGAAATTGCATAGCTCTGCTCTGCTTAGCTTTAGCTCGAAATGTTAATCATTGAACTCAGTCAAGACATTCACCTAATGAACATCTACATCAAGTTTAAATGAAATGAAATTTAATGTCCTACTGTTCTGCTCCGAACTGGGCTAATGAAGACAGGCTCAAACTTTAAACATACTACCTCAATAAAAAGCAGAGTTGTTATGTTCAAAAGTCTTGCTTATCGCTCCTTAGCCTAAGCAGAAAATTCTCAGCATTGAACTTAGTCAAGTAATAATGAATCTATACTCAGAGTTTCATCACTCTCACTTAATTATAATCAAAGTTATCGTGCCCCAAAGCATCAACCAATCAGATTGCTTATCTCTGCTTACCGTAAGCAGACAATGTTTATCATCAAACTAGATCAAGGCATTCACCTAATGAACGCCTACATCAAGTTTGAACATTCTACCTCAATTAGAAGGAGAGTTACATGTATTGTGTTCCAAAGTCTCGACCAATCAAATTGCTTATCGCTCTGCTTACCCTGAGCAGAAAATACTCATTATCGAACTTAGTCAAGGTATTGATGTAATGAAACTATACACTAAGTTTCATCACTCTCACTTAATTAGAACTAAAGTTATCATGTCCCAAAGCATCAACCAATCAAATTGCTTATCTTTGCTTACCCTAAGCAGAAAATGCTCATCTTCGAACTCCATCAAGGCATTGACCTAATAAACACCTACAACAAGTTTGAACATTCAAGCCCAATTAGAAGGAGAGTTAGAAGGACAGACCCATTCTTCGAAAGGCGGGGGACAAAAACCCATAAAAGTGGTATAATGATAAAATTGTCATATTCTTCAAACCAGCGGTTGCCAAGCAAGATACGCCCACATTTTGCAAGAGATGGATAGAGAACAAGCTAAAAAAAAAAAAATACAATTGTACAATCAGGAAGTTATGGTCTGAAATGCGCGAATATCCAAATGGACTGGGATCTGTGGGATATAAAGATATATTTTAAGTTTCCTCAAAATCAGATAAAAATTGTGACTTTTAGAGGGTCCACAACCTTCGTATTACATACTTTTATACTGTTTGCGTACAAGGAGAGGTCATTTTGTTAGGCAGTTTCAGTCTGATTTTTTAATTCAACCGTCGTTACCATTAGGGTGTAACGGTGCTACATTTAAATGCTTTTTAAAATCTGATAAAATTTGTGATTTTTCGAACAATCAGGGGCCGTAACCCAGCAAGTTACAATCCAATATGCGCAAATATCGAAAGGAACCAAGATCTTTGGGTTATAAACGTGTATTTCAAGTTTCATCAAAATCAGATGAAAATTGTGAGCTCTAGTATCCACAAGCTAAAAACGTGATGTTTTATACAATCAGGGGCCATAATCCATGAAGTTTCGATCCGATACATGCCAATATCAAAAGGAAGCGAGATCTTTTGGAGATAAACCTATATTTCAAGTTTCGTCTAATTCAGATAAGAATTGTGACCTGTAGAGTGTCCACAAAGAAATTGTCGACGGACGGACAGGGTTGACGACAATATATGACACGTCCACATGAAAATGTGGGCGTATAAAAAAATATCTTGCTAATCCAAAGTAAAAAAAAAATATGTTAAACACTGACAAGACAAAATTTGGATATATAAGTATGCATGGAATGTCTTTCCTGATGGAAGATGCATTTACTATGAATAAATAGAAGAAATAAGATAAGACTATTCAATTAGTATGATTAACTTATCATAAAGTCATATCTAGGACAGACCATTCTAATTGATTTTTATTGTCTTGGATTGATAAAGATAATAGCTTGTCCGATTCTATAACTAGCTTTAATGGATTGTTAATCATGATTCAAATAATGGCTTTTGTTCACACATAATCTCACACATCATATTTACTGTCATGGGGACATTTTATCTTAGGTTGAAAACCACTGAAGATCATATTGCATAGATTTAGACAAATATGGGTATTTTGTCAAATCCATCCTAAGGGATACATTTCTCTCATTTATAATGCCAGCAAAAGATTTATTATGTTGTTGGAACAGATGAGGCTCTCTTTAATGAATTGGTAAAAGAAATCCGACTTCATTAGTGCACTAATATAAGTGTAAAAAGTTTGACAGACCAGAGTAGGCTGGGGCATTTGCTTTAAGTCAATAATGTGTGATTTGGATATTATTTTGTATGATTATCGACTGAAACTTATAAAATTTTTGGTTACTGATACAAAAACAAGTCGATAGTGACATTGACGTCATAAAATATACATTAATGCTGGGGACCTTACAAGTATTTGACCACAAAATGAATGTCACTGTAAATGTCCAAATAGGCTTTTGGTCAATACACCATAAGCCTTATGAGTACCGGTAATTACTGTAAATTACAGTTACTTGGACATTGCAATGATCATTGTATTATACATATTTGCACACAATAAAATGATAATTTGTCTACTTACCATTTTTAATTGTTCTGTAACAATACGTCCAATCATACTTTCCATACTGTTCTGTTTCCTTAATTCTAATAATTTCTGCTTCATTTCTGCCATTCTTACTTTCAAAAATGTAAAAGTCACATTATAAGATTCATGGATTTTTGTGATCATAGAAGGTATCGTTAATTTTGTTTCATCCTCTCGACGACTAACAAAGTTTGTTCGGTTCTTCATGATAGGTGTCACTACAGCCATATGCTCTGAAGTAGTCGGCTCTCGAGATAAAGTATGGGCTTCATACTCCTGGCGTGCCAGTGCCTCACGGTGTGCATTTAAACTTGCTCTTAAAGCCAAATTATCAGTGATACGTTTTTTGTTATTATTACTGAAGTGGTTTGGTTCATTTTCAACATGGCGAATTTTAGAAACAGTTTCAATTTTGTCTGATTTCATATCACCGATTTCATCATTTGGTATGTAGGGTCTCTTTTTGATTGGACTACGACTGATTTCCTCCTCAGATTTTTTGCGTAAATCCAGGGTTAGGTTTTGTACGATCACAGATTGTTGTTGTAGTTGCTGTTGTTGCTGTTGTTGCTGTGGACTGGGTATCTGAACTGATGAGACAGGAATATAATTGCTGGTACATGGAGATACGGCAGAACTAACCAAATGTTCCTCATCCATATACTCATGTTTTACTGTAGAATGTGGAACCATGAACGTTGATTCATGAGACGTTCGGTTGAAATTATTTGATGGGGAGCTTTTATAACTGTTAGGATAAGTAGATATGCTAACTGGGATACGTTCCGAGTGACTACTGGTCGCAACTTCTCTCAATAGACTCAGATTTTGGGCACCATTTTGATCCAGGAGGTGCCTTTGATCTTTCATATCATTTTTCAACATAATTGGTTCCATGTGCTGCCCTCTACTGTCATCTTCATCATGATTAGGAGAAGATAACTCTTCTGAATCAGGATGTTGATCAGCTACCATAGGTTCTCCAATTAACTGACTAACGTTGGTACGCTGTTTTAACAGCATGGACAATGCCGCCATTGAGGACTGGTTATTAGGGTCGGCCTGAAAGTTAAGGCCACTAATAACCAGAGGATTTGTAGATAGCTGATTTAACACTTGACTATTTCCTTCTGAATTTAAACTAAGTAAACCATGTAGAGCTTGTTCTGTTTGTGTGTCTTCAATGGTTCTAATCATTTCTCGCATTTTACGTGATCTTCGGCCTAGTTTAGCAGCTACAAAATATAATGGAAGATAACATTGTAATTATGTCAAGAAATTAATATGAGGTATCATCAGACGCATTTATTTTAACATGCATTTCCATAACAGGCCAAAAATTAGTAGTTTCAGAAGTAAATCACCAAATGAAATGGTTTTCTTAACGCCATACTGTTCTGCAGCGACAGGGCTAATGAAGATGGTATATAAATCACCAAACATACATGTACCTCCCTTCAAAACAATAAAACTAATCAATGCTACTTAATTAATTGTTGATTAAACATAACAATAGTGTAAATAATTATCTGATATTTAATATAGTGTATTATTTCACCATGCTTTACACCATTTATATTATATATTAAAACAATAATGAAATCAGATTTAACGTCCTACTTTTCTGCACCGAATGGGCGAATGAAGACAGGCTTATGCCATGCAGTGTGCTATGAGGACATTTTGCCTGGACAGTGGCACTACATCTGAATAACTATACAATGTTCCTTGCCAGGCCCTCCGTCCTACACTCATTTAAAATACAGGCATATGTGCAGTTTATTAAAAAAATAAGCCCACTAATTTTTTGTTGATTGTTTACTAGGCAGAAAACACCAATTTTTTCAATGATATCAAATTAAAATGAAATCATTTTGTTTGTTTCTTTTTTTTTTATGTCATTTGATCCAAATTTAACCAAGGAAAAGAAACTCTGGCAATACTGCTTATAACCAATCACAGTTGCTTAAATCAGATTTCAAAGAGAACAGATAACCAGTAAAGAAGTAGTTAGATCTTCTGAGAATTAGACAAACAATATATCACATCTTGTGTTAAGCAGATTGAAATTATTTCACTAAAAACTCTTTTGAAAAATTAATATTTCATGTGAATCAGATCAGAAATGGTAGAAATAAAATCCTGATTAACCTACTTCTGAAATAAATTGCTTGTGTTTTAAGAATCAATGAAAACATAAAACAAATCAATGTGTCAATAAGTGTATACAAATACTTAGCTCAAGCTTAACATAAGAACAAATATTTACTTTCACAAAAACTCTACAAACTTGTTATTACTTAATTAAGACAGAGCAAAGAATAAATACAAATGATTGATTTATTCAGTAGCCAATTCATATTCATCAAGCAAACCCAAAATTGCTGTAATCTTTATAGTATGGACTTTCCAAACATGATGTGATCATTTTTACATATTTCGGACATTTGGTCGAAACACGTATTGTTTTTGTAAGTGTTTTTATTACGTGTTTTGGACCTTTGGTCGAAACACATACTGTTTTCATAATGGTTTTATTTATTATTTTTATGGGGGGGGGGGGGTGTACCGATGGGACAAAAAATATTCTCAGATTGCCCATATCTCGGTTATTTCTCAACGGATCTTCTTCGAGTTTTCAGTTTTGGATTCTTTGGTCATACTTTGGTCAAATCCCATTTGGGCTTTGACTGACGGATTTTTGAAATTCGGAAGTTCGCTCGATTAGCTTTAACATCAAAGATTTGTGAAAGTTTTCTTCAGCATTTTTTCGACATTCAAGATGGGGTATGTCCATGATTATTTGAGGTATAAAGTTGAAACCTGGTAGGAATAAGGAACACATCGATACCTTAAAAATGGCATATTAAAAAATTTTGTGATGGCTTCCAGAAACTTTCGGATATAACAGAGGCCTTCTGATTTTTCCCAAACATGAATAGTTCTCTCCATTTCTGGTTGATCTTTGAAATTTTTCTATATTTAAAGCCCATTATCACATGAATTTGTACTTCAATGACCTTTGCATGACCTATACATATTAGATTACCTAGACCTATACTAACAACTAATATCCGAAAGTTCGGTCTTGGAGTATAACTTTCGCTTTTTATAAGAGTTCAAAATAGCATGTTTTTCCACTTTAATAGGGATTGGATGTTACTATACTCAATAATTTATGGTGTAACTTGATTGTTGACATTACAAGGTATGACCCAGCCTTACCCAGCCAAAACACCTCAGTACTCCTTCAGAGTTCTAGTTTTATTTTGAACTATTTTGACTTATAAAACTTATCTTTTGAAACTGTTTTCTCCCATAAATATTAGTACACTACAAGAATTTCTCTTTTTTGGAATTTTAGAGACATGTGTTGCTGATTTTCATCAAACCTATAATTGTATTAACCGATATTCTGTGCCACTATGCCTTCACACAATAACAATATAATTCACTAAATAGTAATTTATTATCTAATGATATTTTCTGTTCATCGATCAAGTTCTACTTTTATAACTTAATAATCCCAAATTTAATCAGCGGAGATTCTGAAATTAAAAGTACTCAAGACTTGTAAAATCTTGAAATACTTTCACTGTAAAATTGCCATGAGATCAGACAAAGAGAGAAAAATAGAAAAAGTTTTAATTAATTTTCACTCTACTTATATTTAAAACGATATATAGTAGTTAAATATTTTGACAAAAATAATTTGAAGCCTTATGCTCGAGATAAAATAGTCTCTGTTCTTGAAATAAAATTAAATGTAAACATTTTAACAGAATCCAAATTATTTAGACAAGCATTACTTATGAAAATAGGTTGTGTTTCATTCTCAATAAGTAAATTACTGCCCAATGATTTTCTATACCTGATCTAGACATGCCTAAAGCCAAGCACTTCTGCAGACGACAGTATTGACATCGGTTTCTGGTTTGTAAATTGATCTCACAGTTCTTGTTATAAAAACATTTCTTTCTGGCTGGATCCCCAACGTTTTGTAAAGCTCTACGAAAAAATCCCTGAAAAATAAAAATAAAATATCAAATCTGAACAAAAGTTTAGCAAGATGATCGCCTCCATTATCATTTCTAACAAGGCAATAAAATCAATTCTCAAACAGACTATCGATGGTCCTCAAAAGGCTATAGTCCACACTATGACATTTTTATCCTATGAAAATATGTTAACAGGCAACAAAACATAAGCTAAGTTGTTCGAGCAATTAGCAAAGGTTATCACATATCTATTCTTTTGTAAGTAATGGAACATTTATAAGACACCAACTAGGGAGTCGACAATATTCAAAAATGTGATCAAGGGTAATAACTTTGAAAGTCCTTCTTGGGTACTTCATCTCATGAACATAAATGCTGTGTATAAATTTAAAGGTACTCGAAAGATAACTTTGGCAACTTGAGCATCCATAAGTCTTTTTTAAAGTTGTCCAGGGAAGTAAAAATAAGTATTGAAGTAATTATAAATTTCAAATTAAAGATACATTAGTTAAAGAGTTTTATAAAGGGTTGGCCATTCTTGCTATGATAATTAAAAAATAGATGATAAAAAAAAGAAAATGTTGAAAATTTCAGTCAAATTACTTTGTTCTGAATGGAATTGTCACTGTTAGAAGTTTGGAGTAGAAATAGGCATCAATTGTGTCTGCATCGTCTATGAGAATTGACGATCGTTTGATTGACAGACGGTAACTCCACTCACATATTCTTGATTATCAAGTAACATGCTCAATGGCTATGGTAGCCTCGCTTTACAGGCCTTTCATCACCAGTTTCCGGTAGTGACATCAGCGGCTAACAGTAAATGCTAGCTTGGTCTGCCATTTATTGATTTAATTTTAAATGGATGACTGTTTAAATCCAAACTGTATCCAAGCCATCCGTGGGTCTACAGAGTTGATTTTGAGCTTGTCATGTAATAAATGTCTAATTAATAATTTCTATAATATTTGAAGCTCTTGCCTAAATAAAGACTTGCAATAGGCAGATTTAGCTCTTGCATAATGTATGTTTAAGTCTGTAGACTGTCCATAAGCAATTTTTTTTGTCCCATGGTGCCATAAATACATTGTCATAAAATGTGTCATCCCCTGTGAAGTTCTTTATATCCCTGATTAATTCTATGATCTTCACATTTATCAATATACAAGCAAATTCTATTTATTGATTGGCATAGGTAAATCAAGATTATAGACAGAAAAAAACCTATACATATTTATATCTTGACAATTTTTGAGAGATATCAAGGCAAACAGACACATCTATCTATCATTGTCCTTATTTTTTGTAATATAAATTTAAAGATAGGTTCCCAGGCAACGAAACATATGCCCCCAGCAGGAAAATGGTCTGAGCAGTCGACACGGGTTGTCGCATATTTATTTTTTGTAGGTAATAGGGGACATTTACAAGACAATACAGATCAATTTGTGTATAAATTTAAAGTCAATCGGATATTAACTTTAGCCTCAAGAGCGTCCACAAGCAAAAAAGCGTCCACAATTGCTTGTGGACGCCGGACTGCCAGATGGATGGGGACGACAACAATATACGACCACATTTCAATGTAGACATATAAAAATGAAATAAGAAGAGACATATTAAATATCTGTGCTGTAATAGTACAAGCTGTCAATTACATAGAAATTATACAGTGTACGCTGTATGGGTATGTGGGTGTTTTCATTTAATCATGCACATACCTGGCACTACCTGGCTCAGTATCCCATTAAGAAATTTTCTAAAAATATCTATGAATGTCTACTCTCATATTTTGATCCAGCAGCTATACAGAACTACTGGCCTGCCCTCTGCTACTTTTAAGGGAGTGTTGTCATTCCCCCTCTCGTTTCCAAGTTTTCTTAAAGTGAAAAATCTAAAGAGGTTTAAAAAGCTTAGCAATAGTCTAAATGAAAAGGTGGGGCAAACTAATTAATGAGGTTAAAAGCCCACAGGGGCCACTATTGTTTTCATGAAGGGTTTATTTCGCATGCGGGCTTATCTTACCCATCACATCAGACTGGCCTATAAATGTTGGCTTCAGGTAAATAAGAGCACGTGTACATGTATTTTATCAGTTTTGAGAAAATTGTCAGACTCTTAACCTCAGATCATTGTTGTCAGATCTGCTGTTAAGTCATCTAATCTGTTCATTATGGTTGTCACAGATAACTAGAGCATTTACAAAATGCTGAAAAGGGATCAAGGGCAATAATCCATGAAGCAATTATCTGAAAAGGTTACAAATTGATTATTTTTTCCTGGCGCTAACAATATATAACCACAGTTACATCCTATAAAAGACATTTTTGTTATACCCACAATTTTGTAAGAATAAGATTCAGTCATTAACATATTGCACCTTTGCCCATTGCAATATCCCTTCTTAACCTCATTCAATACAGGATAAAAAGTCTTTCTTACCTTGCATCCTTCACACGCTAGTACCCCATAATGAACACCAGAAGATTTATCACTGCATACTAAACATTTTAATACTGTCTGTGCTCCTCTCTGACCATTGCCTACAAATATAAATTACCAAATTATAATAACCAATTTAAATAACTAATTGTATATTTCTAAGTCTATATTTTTAAATATAAACATTTCTAGTACAGTCACACTAGACAGACAATAATTATTAGATACATGCTTTGACTCACAACTGTTTCTGGGTCACATATGCTAGTTGAGTACCAGGTCAAGAAGCTCCTAATCCAGGAAAGAAATCAGGAAAAAAAAGTATTAAAAAAAAATGGCAGACACAATTAAGTTGAAAAAGTCATGGCATTTTGAATATATCACTTCAATAATGAGATCAGACTACACACTTCAAATTCCAATACTGAATATATCTACAAACAATAAATCTATTTGGCTTTCAATATTAATTAAAGTCAACAGATTAATCATTGGAAACAACTGAAGCATAACAGGAAAAAAATCCTGATAACATTCAAAGCCTAATGTAATTTTCTTTCTACATGATAACAGATTCTGGCTGTCAACTATTTTCAGAAATTAATATATTATTATTTAAATCATACAAGCTGTTAAATAATACTCCGATATTTGTAGGTTGTGTTTTACAGTGGATTTTGTGCAATCACAATTTTCCTTGTTTAAGGAAGATTTATGGTGTTGTAAGAACACAGTACAGTGAGAAGACAGATAAATGGAGTTTAATGTCTGTTTGACACAAAGCATGTCATTTCAGGACTAACATATGGTACAGTTTTATTTCAATAATCCAGGGTCTTAAACAGTTGGAGGAAGCCAGAGGATCCAGAGAAGTCCCACAATGTTAGACAAGCGAAAAAAAGGAAAGTCAAAGAGAGAATCGGTAATTCCAGTGTACATAGGGATCTTTAGCAGTGGAAGGGAACTGGAGACAACCCACATGATTTTTATATCTTAATAAACAATGTCTTAATTCCAATAATTTCAGAGTAAGGATTGGGGAACAGGCAAGTTTATGAAAAAGCCTTCTTGCTAAATGGCTGGTTGTCAATATAAATGATTAGATCACAAGCCCCTATTACCCTACTATATAAATACTTGGCTGTACAATTGTGTGGAAGTTTGCTAATATAATATACCAGGAATATGTAAGAATACAATTAGCTTGAACGAAACGTTTTTCTCATTCTAGATTATCCTGATTATCTCCCTTACGTTGACACGTTAATGACACATTGTGTATTGTTATGTGATATTTAAAGGTATTTATAATAGGTCAAGTGGAGGATATGATAAAAAAAAACTAGATCAAATATTGATTAAATACAGATAATATAAAATTATAACTGCTGTACATGTTTTATAATTCATCTAGTGTAAAGACCTGTTAAGTATAGTTATTAATACAAGTTCGATAAACAAATAGTAGTTTGCAATAATAATGAGGCATAATGTCATTTAAAACTTATTGCTCTTTTGGCTGGACAGTTATAGTCAAGAGCATAAGGTTTGATAGTTGGGTAATATGTACTGGGTACAAGTAATTACAGGAACCATGCTATGTCCGGTCTAACCTTGACTCTGCTCCCTGGTTAAGATAGGACATGTCCATTGAATCTCGAATGCTATGATGACCATACACATCACTTGCCTGGTTATAAATTAGGTTCAATGCCAACACATAATGAAACATGCATACAAAATAAATTGAATTTTCCATGGTCCATAGAGAACGTGTAAATTTTATGTGTATACTATTTAAAAATCCGAGAATGGTATTTCTGAATATTATAGATCTAATAAACCATATCAACCAGCAAATAGTCCTGTCATCATTTTTGTGTACCGAAACTACCGTTATATATCAATTCAAACTTAGGACTGATGGCTGTGGGTAGTGTCAAACAGCCCCATTAATTCTTGGGGAAGGGAAGATAATGGCATTTGAAACCATTCAGGCGCTGTAGTCCTTATGGACCCCATTCCACTATCCTTAAACAGAGTCATAAAACCTACTGTATCACTCACTACCTCTATTAATAGATAATTTATGTTGTGTACAATAATTATCTGTTTACTTGACATACATATATACACCTACAGTTATATCCTTGTTCTATCTATATCATGTATATACGGAAAATCCTGTTACATTTTCACAGTTATCATGTTTATTTCTATTATTAACTGTAATCATATATTAAGATGAATATGAGACAAACACAAATCACAAGTCCCACACATACATCTTTAAAGATAGGTTGCCAGGTAACAAAACATACACCCACAGCAGGAAAATGGTCGGAGAAGTCGACACAGGTTGTCACATATTTATTTTTGGTAGGTAATGGGGGGCATTTACAAGGCAATACAGATCAGTTTGTAATTTTCGTCATTTGAGGGTTAAAAAGGGGTTCTACAAACTAAAAAAGGGGCCTGAACTCTCAAAGTAATTTACAGATATTGTTGTAAGTTGCCAGACATGAAATCAAAGTATAAAATCCAATGAAATCAACACTTTCATTTTTGACTGAATTCAAAGAGGTTTAGTCATTCCAATTTCTACTACATGTATCACAAACTCAATACTTGAAAGGTGAACAAATGAAGGAATAAAAGTTGAATAACTGACTCATGTATCCAGTATTAGTGAATAATGTAACAGAAGTTGGAAACATGTGATATAACTAGTGTTATTATGATAAATTATCTTATTTATTTTTTTGTTTTGTAAGTCAAACCAGTTTCATCTTCTGAGCTATAAAGGGAAATAACAAAACAGGAAGGTAGACCAAACACGGGAAGGCAGACCAAACACGGAAAGGCAGTACCTATGATTTTATAGTCTCTCTCTCTTTTCTCTCATTTAGCATGGCCATTTTATTTTTTACTTTTTGGTCTAGAATCAAAAAAGAGGGTTTGAATTGACATTTCGACCAGGTGAATATTCATGAATTAGAGGTGGAAGGATTACAGAGTTAAGAGGCTGGTTATGGTGATATGTACTGCGAGGATGCTACTTCAAATCTGTGCATTTCATACAAGATTTGGAGCAAGAGATGACCTGATATCTGTGGTGTAGAGCATTCTGGCCAACAAAAATGTGTGGGGAAAGTTGCAGATAAGCAAAGAGAAAAGAATTAACATTAAAAGTCAATTGGAGAATATTTAGTGGTCAGTATCCATGGATTCGGACCGGCAAAGTTATCTCATCATTGACTAAAATGCTGAATACACTCCATTTTTTGCCTGTTCATTTGTTTCAACATTCTAGTCTTAATCTTTATGACTACAAAGAGTCCTAATGTCACAATCACTAGTAACAAAAAATAAATAGATGACACATATTAATTAATAGCACATTTATCAAGCAATCAAACTGATAATCAACTATTCACTAAGTTTCATCACACTCTATCAGAATGAAAGTTATCTTGTCCCAAAGCATCGACCAATGAAATAGCTTAGCTCTGCTTAGCTTTAGCTCGAAATGTTAATTATTGAACTCTGTCAAGACATTCACCTAATGAACATCTACATCAAGTTTGAACATTCTATCTCAATTATAAGCAGAGTTGCTAATTGCTATGTTCCTAAGTATTGACCAATCAAATTGCTCATCGCTCCTTAGCCTAAGCAGAAAATTCTCATAATCGAACTTAGTCATGGTAATGATATAATGAATCTATACTCGGAGGCTGATGTCCCCCACCGAAAATGCCAAAATAAATAGATGACACATTTTAATTTATTGCACATTTATATTTTTTAAAAGTATCAAGCAACCAAACTGATTATCAACTATACACTAAGTTTCATCACTCTCTATCAGATAGAATCAAAGTTATCTTGTCCTAAAGCGTTGACCAATGAAATTGCTTAGCTCTGTTTAGCTTTAGCTCGAAATGTTAATCATTGAACTCAGTCAAGACATTTACCTATTAATGAACATCTATATCAAGTTTAAACATTCTACCTCAATTTAAAGCCGATTGTTATGTTCCAAAGTCTTGACCATTCAAATTGCTTATCTCTCCTTAGCCTAATCAGAAAATTCTCATCATCGAGGTAATGATATAATGAATCTATACTCAGAGTTTCGTCACTCTCACTTAATTATAACCAAAGTTATCGTGCCCCAAAGCATCAGCCAATCAGATAGCTTATCTCTGCTTACCGTAAGCAGACAATGTTTATCATCGAACTAGATCAAGGCATTCACCTAATGAATGGCTACACCAAGTTTGAACATTCTACCTCAATTAAAAGGAGAGTTATTGTGTTCCAAAGTCTTGGTCAATCAAATTGCTTATCGCTCTCCTTACCCTGCACAGAAAGTGCTCATTAACGAACTTAGTCAAGATATTGATATGATAAAACTTACACCAAGTGTCCTCACTCTCACTTAATAATTAGAACTAAAGTTATCATGTCCCAAAACATCAACCAATCAAATTGCTTATCTCTGCTTACCCCAAGCAGAAAATTCTCATATTCGAACTCCATCAAGGCATTCATCTATTAAACACTCACGCATTTTCTATAAAAATATTAACACATAAATATTAATCTGAGATGTGGAAATTTCAAGAAAAGGAATTGTTATTGAGTAGCTAAAAAAAATAATCTTTTGTTGTCTTTCATATTTCAATTAAGTGATTATCAATTTGTTGTCTTTCATATTTCAATTAAGTGATTATCAATTGAGTGTTTTTCTCGACTATCAATTTTGAGAAAATCAGAAGAAAAGTATTGCTGAACCTCAATCAATCAATCCACCACGGTTCTAGGGTAATTCAGCGACATTGAATTTATTTATATATATTCATTATCTTCTAATACGAGACCTAGACAATGTTGTATGAATAATCAGGTTCAATAAATAGGGTTTAATATGTTTTGTTTCTCTAAAGTAGGTCCAGTTGATTCTGTTGACTTTAATAATATGTCCAACACATGCTATTTAATATACTTTGTGGTGAACTTGATTGATGTAAAAGATTTTTATTAAAAACTTTTTACATAAGAATATCAATATTCGATAGTTTCTCAAAATATCAAA